TTCCCCTCGCGGAACAGCTGGTGGTTTCAACCTGCTGGTTTTGAGGTTGGCAGCCTTACTCAATGCTACCAGAGCTCCTTTTAGACCCCTCATTTTTATTTACCCTATTTGTGGCTCTCCTTTTTGTCAGATATTGTTGTTGCTGCTGTTGTTAAGTGCCATTGAGCTGGTTCCAACTCATAGTGACCCTGTATAGGATTTCTGAGGAGTGGATGGTGGGTTTGAACTGCTGACCTTGCAGTTAGCAGTCTACTGCTTATCCTTAAGAGCCACACCAGGACTCTCTTTAAAGTGGAAAGGCTCACTTATTGTCATGATGTTTTCGCAGTGCTGTAAGTTCTAGTGTGGACTCTTGGTGTAGTGCAGTAAAGTAAGCACTGGACTATAAACCATAAGGTCAGTAGTGCAAACCCACAAGTTCTCCGCAGAAACCTTATACAACGGGGGTGAGGAATCTTTTTTCTGCCAAGGGCCATTTGGATATTTATAACATCATTTTCTGGTATGGTGCTATAGGATAAGCACAGTACTGCTGGTAGCAAAGTCAGCGGTTCAAACCCACCAGCCACTCCTTAGAAACCCTTATACAGGGTCACTATGAGTTGGAACCGACTTGGTGGCACTTGACAACAACAACAATGGTCTTGTTTGGAGCCCTGGTGTGGTGCTGTTGGATAAGCAGTGGACTGCTAACCACTTGGTCGGCAGTTCAAACCCACCAGCCACGCCTCAGAAACCCTTTATAAGGTTGCTATGAGGCAGAACAGACATGACATTTAACAATGAGAACAACATGGCCTTGTTTTAGGAATACAGTGTAATTTCTAATCTCTCTTAGGGCGTGTGTATGTGTCGTCTGTCTTTGTGTGTGTTTAAATTTTGTTTTATGAATTGTCTGTTTTCTCTGTTATAGTTTTTGCTTTGCTTATCTTGGTATTCCTCACATGATGTAAGTTTTCAATAAATATTTAATTATCCGTACATGTTTTTTTATATTTAATAAAGAGATAATAAAATAATGCTTGTGAACTCTATTAGGGAAGTGCTTGTCAATTTCTGGAGAGTTGTTCATTTTTACTCATGTTTTTATTGCTCTGGGGACATTATGCAATGATCAAAGGCATGGTTGATGAAGAAATATAAAATGATCATAAAGCTGTAGGTACCAGCAAGACAACAACTAAGTATATATAAAAGTTGTTTATAAATATGAGGGGACTTCAAAAAGTCTGTGATGAATTCTATTATCTTTAATTCTATTTGTTCCATGAACTTGAAGCCCCCTTGTACAAGTTGTTGTTGTTGTTAAGTACTGTTGTACAATTAAACTTTGATAAAAATACAGTTATAATGGGATACTTCAATATATACTTGCTCAGAATTAGACAATACTAATAAATAAAATAAAGATATAAACAATAGCAGTAGAAATAATAAAGATGTAAAGGATATGGACAATAAAATAAAAAAATAAAAGCAGAGCATGTGCCCTTTAAATGGAGGATATATATTTTAAATATGTCCATAAAACGTTTGCAAAAGTGAATCATGTGCTTGACCAAAAATAAAGCCTTAATGCATTAATGCTGAAAGAGAAGTTTTGTAAGTTACAATCTCTTATCATCAGCTAATGTAATTTAAAATAAATAATAAAAGTATGATCCCACATATTAAAAACATAGAGAAGCTTTTTAGAAATATAGTCCTGAGTAGCTCTTATATTAAAGAAGAATGTTGTTGTTAGGTGCCATCAAGTCTGTACCTACTCTTAGCGACCCTATGCACAGCAGAACAAAACACTGCTCGATCCTGGGCTAGCCTCACTACTGTTGCCATGCTTGAGTCCCTCTATGCTGCCACTTGGCCAATTCATCTCGTTGGGGATCTCCCTCTTTTTCGCTGACCCTCCACCTTGCCAAACATGATATCCTTCTCCAACGAAAAATAGGAAGAGGAAAATGACATTTTAGAACATGGTTGGTTAAGTGCCATGAAGTTGGTTCAAACTCATAGCGACCCTATATATGGTTTCCGAGGCTATAAATCTTTACAGGAGCAGAAGCCTCATTCTCTCACAGAACAGCAGGTAGTTTCAAACTGCTGACCTTGAGGTTAGCAGTCCAACTCGTAACCACTATACTACCAGAGCTACTTTTTAGAACATAATGAGAGAAAATTTGTATATACCCAGATCCACGAGAAATAACAAAAATCTCACTTAAGAAAACAATTTTATCCTATTGCTGTCAGGTTAATTCTGACCCACAGCCACCCCATGTGATTGAGTAGAACTTACTTAGGCAGACTGCCTTATCTTTCTCCATCAGCGGCTGGTGGGTTTGAGCTGCTGAACTTGCAGTTACTAGGTGAACACTAAACCACTATGCCACCAGTGCGCCTAATAAAAAATTTTGAAAACTACAAA